CTGTATAATAAAAGAGGGTCACATTAAAAGTGTTTTTATTGTGGCAAATCGCCTTTAAGTAGTTTGGTGTGTGCTCCAGACCACAGCAAGTATGACAAGTTCGAACCGCAATTCTATGACCCTGGGATGCTGGGAAGCACAGCCTGGCCACTTGGTACTCACGCCTCAGCAGTGGGGCCCACGGCCCTGTAGTTTGCCGTGGTGCTGATCAGCTCAGTTTCCTCATAATCTTTGTTCACACCATCTCTTCGTTCCTTGGCCCGGTCCCGGTACTTCTCTGCTAGCTCTCGCTCTCTCTCAATTTCTTGCTGGCGAAGCTTTGCATAATAACTGTCACCAGAGAAAAGAAAATGTGTAAGGTTCACTGCCTATTCCCAAGCCAACATAACTGACACTGCCTATTTACCTTCATCCAACTCTTGACAGTGAACGCTCGTACAACCTAACTAAACTGCGAGCCAAGAAACCAATTTGAACTATGGCACTTTCTGGCTCAGACATGTCGTTCCATGCTCCAACTGCAACTTATTTCTGGATTTGTGCTCAGGGATCATTCCTGGAAATGCTTAGGGAACCTAGTACCAACCTCTTTCTATCTCTGGTCCCACTCCGAACATTTTAATACCACTCAACACTACATAATGGAGTCTTTGAAGAATAAGACTTCTCCACACAGCAAAGAAATGATATTATGAATGTTTAAAAAAAAATTTGGGGGGGGGGGTGTTGGCTCATACCCAGCAATGCTCAGGGGTAAGTTACTCCTGGCTCTACTCTCAGAAATTATTCCTGGCAGTGCCTGGGGGACCATATGGTATGCTGGGTACCAAACCCTGGTCAACTGTATACTAAGACAAATGCCTACCCTCTAAACTATTGCTCCGGAGAGAATGTTTAAAATTTTATGACTTTATAAATTTCAACAGAAAATAAATCACTACTTGCAGGTTTCCCGCCCCGCCACCCCCCACCCCAAGAAGTGAGAAGCAATGTACCAAGTCCAAAGAGTTTACTAGCATATAAAAAAAGATGATAGTAATAACATCCATGATTTCTTACATAATTACAGTATGTCAGACTAAGCATTTACGTGCACAATCACAATTTATCCTCATGACAACCTGGTAAAATGCCCAAGATTTTCCAGGCAGCAACCGGTTAAGATGAGATTAAAACATTGCAGGCTGACTCAAAACACTTCTATTCCACATTACTACATACAATCTTCCCACTAAGAAAGCAAACCATCGGAATAGGGAAAACCTTGCCTGTGAACTGTCTCCTTCACCCAACAATATTCATCTTATACCCAATACCCCTCCATCCTTTCTTCACCTTTTCTTTTTTCTCCTCCGTGCAGCTGGATCCTCATCCTCGTTATACTCCCTTGGCATCCTAGAAAAGAAAGGAATTGGTAACAAAATGCTGTCAAACCTCTCTAGGAATGGCTTTGAGAACAAAAGAAAGGCCCAAAGAAATAACTTCAATCAAGCAGAGATCCATGTCAGTTTTGGTAGGGAAGTCATGTTCAAACTTTAACATTATCAAAATCACTTTAGGACTTTTAAAAATTCTATATCCCAAAGTTCCATTCCAGAGCTGTCTATATCCCAGCTTGGGATATGTACTTCATTGTCCTTCCTTTATGTGACTATTTCTCTTTCTCTTCTCACATTTTCATAAATGAAACTGTTGACCTCAAGGAAAAAAAATAAAATAAAATAAACTGATATAACCCATCACCTAGGGATATAGCTCGGTGGTAAAGTGCCCGCCTTACAGATAGGTCCAAATATCTGTCCCAGTATCTAAGTCTGTGCAGACAGAATGGTGGCCAAAATTTCACTCATTTAAGCAACTGTAACAACTGTATTACAAATGATGTATGAAACATATTCTGAGAAACCATGAGATATTAAGGCAATTCATTCTCCTAGAGTTCCAAGCTCCAGGGGGAAAGAATCAAAACTATTGGCTTTAAAAAGATAATAATATTTCCAGTTCCTAAGACCAGTTTAGCAGATTTTCCACAGAAGATAAGAGACATGAGTTACCCTAGAACTTACTCATGATGACGTGATTTAGAGGGCGGTGCAGAGGTAGGTGCAGCCCTTGGGGTCATGAGAAGTTTTCTGAAATCTTCATTGGTGAGCTTAGATCTAGAAGGCAAAGATATTAAAAATTAGTTTCCAGAGATCTGAGGATGTGACACAGTGGTACCAAATATACTTCCATGTGTGAGGCCATGAAGTACATTCCTGACACTCTCCCACATTATCAAGTACAATGTCTTGGTACCGTCTCCAGCACAACAATGCAGACTCCCCCCCAATCTCATGAAAGTACCCAGAAAAGAAGTATAAACATAATAAAACATCTAAAAACTGTAACAGAAGAGAAATATCTAGTAAAAAAACATAATTTTACTAGAAAATTAGGTAAACACAAATTAAAACAGAGACTACCAACATACCATCTTTTTGGGGGGGGGGGGTTGGTCACCTATCACGGTATTCACGGGCTAGTCTTGGCAAGGGGTTACTGTCCTTGGAGAGATACTTGAGAGCCCATGCAGTATCAAGGATCAAAGTGCAAAGCAGCCAGCCCTTGGAGCCAACTCTCTAGCTCAAGACATATCACCTTTTCCTTTGAGTCAAATAGTTGTATTTAGTAAATATGAGGTCTCATGAAGTAAAGGAAGCGAACTTACACACTCTAAAGTGGGACGCCGTCAACTCCAGAATGGAGTGTGCATAAAGAGAAGAATGGGGGGCTGGGGAGATAGCACAGTGGGTAGGGCGTTTGCCTTGCACACGGCCGACCCAGGTTCGATTCCCAGCATCCCATATGATCCCCTGAGCTCTGCCAGGAGTGATTCCTGAGTGCAGAGCCAGGAGTAACCCCTGTGCATTGCCGGGTGTGATCCAGAAAGCAAAAAAAAAAAAAGAGAGAGAGAAGAATGGGATGGAGAGTGCCTACTGTGCATGACGGAGGTCTGGGTTAAACCATGTCATGGTCCCTGAGCACAGGCCAGGAGTAGCTCCCAAGCATCTGAAGAAGTTGCACACTCAGACTGGGAAACCCCAAAATAGAGAACTTACACATCCCATGCTGCAATGGAGCGACTCCAAAATGAAGTGCTAAGACAAAACACTTTGTTTTGGGGTGACATCTGGCTATGCTCAGGACTTTCTCCTGGCACTATATTCAGGGATCACTCCTGGCAATGCTGATGGGGTGGGAGGGGGCGTATAAGGGACTCTGGGGATGGAATCCAGGTTGGGTCCATGCAAGACAAGTATGAAAAAATAAAGTAAAGACAAAGTATTTACTTTGTTGCTGTATTTACTTTCCATCCCCAATTATCAACTTTTTAAAAACTAAAATCCTCTCTAATCCTAGCACACAGTTGGACTAATCCATTTAAAATACACAGAGATCAAGGATCAGAACTGTAGTACAGAGGGTAGAAAGCTTGCCTTGCATCAGCTAACTGGGGTTAGATCCTTAGCATCCCATCTGGTCCCCTAAACACCACCAAGATTAACTCCTGAGTGCAGAGCCAGGAGGAATCCCTGAGTGCCACCAGATATAGCCCACAAACAAACAGAAAACATATAAAGAGCAGGTTGGGCATTTTTTGTCATGTTCACAAAATCCCTTCACCATCTACTTCACCACTCTACTCAGCACAGCTCAGTTCCAAAGCCCGACAATCAAAATACTCACTGGTGGAAGGAGTGAGGATCATCCACATCGTGGCCATCTGGGGCCAAAGGATTGGAAAATGGCTCACCTAAGAAAAAGGATTAACATTAACTCAAACTTTAAAGTTGGTCTTTTTTTTTTTATTAATTTTATTGAATCACTATGAGATAGTTATAAGCTTTCATGTTAGGGTTACAATCACACAATGATCAAACACCCATCCCTACACCAGGGCACATTCCCCACCACCAATATCCCCGGTATAACCCCCCTTTCCTACCCTCCCTCTGCCTCCATGGTAGATATGATTCCCCATAATCTCTCTCTACTTTTGGGCATTATGGTTTGCAATACAGACCCTGAGAGGTTATCATGTTTGGTCCTTTATTTACTTTCTGCACACATCTCCCATCCTGACCAATTTCCTCCAGCCATCTTTTTCTTAGTGATCCCTTCTCTATTCCAGCTGCCTTCTGAGACCCTTTGCTCCAGCTATGGAGGAATCTATCTGTTCGTGTATCTACTGTCCTTAGGTAAAATTGGTCTTCTGCAAAGTGTTTTCCCGTTGAAGTGATCACAATTAGTAAGATTGAAAAAAAGCAAGCACGGCAACTATAAATCAAGCAAGTGTCACAAAGAGGAAATACTAGGAGCTGTGGAAACCCAGAGAAAGGAGCCCCTAAAACATCCTGGGGGACAACAAATGACGTCAAGGGGATGACATCTAAGACACTATGAAAAATATATTGACGGCATCCAAGATAATGCGTGGCGGATCTGAGACTCAAAAAGGAAAATCTCCCGTGGTCATTTACGGCAAAAATTTGACTTAGGGGCGGAATCGGGCGTCCCGGCCTCCCTGGGGCAACGGCTTCCTTAGGTTCCAGTCGCAAGATGGGACTTTCATCCTCACACACACACACCGACACCCCGAACTTATGGGCTATAAGCAAGAAAGGAAAGATAAGCCGCGCCTTACTATCTCGCTCCGGCATTTTGTCCGCGTCCTTTTATAGCCAGCAGGAACTCAGGATCCAAAAACAACACGGCAACGACTGAGCTTTCCCACAATGCACCTCAGGTATCAACCCACAGTTCCTAGCGCCCATCAGCCCTTCCGCGCCCGCCCACCCGCCCGGAAACGGGAGCCAGCTCTGAAGAACGCCCAGCGATGCTTCTCTGGGATTGGCTAGACTTTGACACGCCCCCTAACTGGCAGCCAATCTATCACGAGATAAGAGGGTCCGCGATTGGTTCGACTGGAGAACTTTGCCGGAAGGTCGAGGGCGGGGGGTGGGGCGTAAGGCGCTAGCGGAGATGGCGGCGGCTGCAGCTAGTCGCGGGGTTGGGGCCAAATTGGCCCTGCGTGAGATTCGCATCCATTTATGTCAGCGCTCGCCTAGCAGCCAGGGCGTCAGGTGAGACGCGGCGTGGCGCGGCGTGTGGGTTTCAGGGCGCCGGGGTCATGACCTCGACATTCCTGCGTTTATGGAGGCCTGCCCCCACTCAGAGCCTTGCTCTCTCTCTGGTCCTGCAGGGACTTCATCGAGAAACGCTATGTGGAATTGAAGAAGGGCAACTCCGACCTCCCCATTCTAATCCGGGAATGCTCCGATGTACAGCCCAAACTGTGGGCACGCTACGGTGAGCGCGGGACTCTGGGGTCTTTGACCCCGATTGGGGATCATGGGTTCGAAGAAAGATTCAAGGTCACGCTGGAACTTAAGAAACTGCTTTTGCAATTGTAGAGAAATTACCTCACCGACTCTAGGATGTTTTCTTTTTTTTTTTTCTTTTTGGGTCACACCCAGCGATGCACAGGGGTTACTCCTGGCTCTGCACTCAGGAATTACGCCTGGCGGTGCTCAGGGGACCATATGGGATGCTGGGAATTGAACCTGGCTTGGCTGCTTGCGAGGCAAATGCCCTACCCACTGTGCTATCTCTCCAGCTCCTCTAGGATGTTTTCTATGTCCCAGCAACATCTTTTGGGGGGCGGGGGCAGTCGAGCTCTGCGCAGAGACCAGGAACTGCGGGATTTGTAATTGAGAACGGCCCTGAGAGAGTGGAGAAGAGGTGCTGGTCATTTTCCAGCACTTGGAAATGTAGGGCTTTCCAAATCACGTGTGGGTACAGTTGCCTGGGAGAGTGCGAGTCTTAGTAATAAATTCCTAAAATAATAAGTCTGTATTGAGTGCTTCATGCCAGGCTTTATGCTAGGTGCTCTGCTGGAATTTCACTTAATTGAAAAGGGTAAATTCTTATAGACAGCAAAATTAATAATCCAGTGGGGATGCAGGAGAATTCATCCGGCCAAAGTACACACTTTGCTTGTATTAGTTTGTGTTCAATGCTATTTCCCACAAGGTCCTCTGAGTATCCCTGGGTTGGCCAAAACAAAAAAATAGTCTGTGACCAAAGAGATAGTACAGTGGATAAGGTGCTTTGCTTGCTTGCATGCAGGCTCCCTCACCACGTATGGTATCCCAACTGCAGCTCCATCAGGAGTGCTGTCCCTGAGCACTGCCGAGTGTGACTCAAAAGGCAAGAACTCACCTCTGGGTGTAGCTCAAAACAAAAATTCTTGGGGTGTCAGAGAGATAGTCTAGTAGTTAAGGAGCTTGCCTTGCCCACAGGGGACAGGGGTTTGGACCCCAGCACCATATATGGTCCCCCCAACAAATCCAGAAGTGATCCCTGAACTCAGCTAGGAGGATTATCTGAGCACCATCAGGTATGACCCAAAACAAAAAACAATTCTATGGACCCAGGGAATGCTGCTCAGATGTAGAGCACTTGCCTTACATGTGAAACATCTAAGATTAGATTAGACAAGCTAGGCTGTAACAAGGTTAAATCTCTACATTTGTTTCCCCTTTCTAGAATAAATTTGTGTGTGATTTCCATGCTGGCCTTAATATTATTTATGTCTTGACCTTCATGCCAAAAAGACATTCCCTGACCAGTCATGTAACATTGCTCCTAGTCCCATTTTATACTACCTTATTTAAATGTCCTATAACTTGATCATTAACATGATGTTACCTGACAATAAATGTACTCATTGAGGTGATAACTGTATTTGTCTCGCCTGGGTTTTGTTGTTGTTTTGAGGCCACACCTGGCTCTGCACTCAGGTACCACTCTTGCTGGTGCTCCAAGAACCATATGGGATGCCAGAGATCAAACATGGGTTGGTCATATGTAAGACAAGCACCTTTCCTGCTGTACTATCTCTCCAGCCCCAAAGAATAATATCTTGGTAGGATATTTTTGAGGGGGTAGGAAATGGGCACACTGGTGTTGCTCAGCGTCTACTCTTAGTGGGCTTGGGGGACCATATGAGGTGCCGGGGATTGAACCCAGATCAGCCATGTGCAATGCAAATATCCCACCTGCTGTACTTGAATAGTCGTATTTTAATGGCTTTGTATTCTGGCTGGGGATCAAGCTCAGGACTTCACATGGTTCTACTAATGAATCACACACACCCCCCCCCCCCGCCCCTTAATCATTACTTTCAGCCTCTGCAGTATGCCATGCAATAAAAATTGTTGAAAAGTTTCTCCTTTCAAAAAGCTAGTAGACTAGAAGAGATGATTTCAAGGAACTTTATATCATACTAGATGGACTAGGGAATGCACAGAAAGGGCACCCATCCAAAGCTAGGTCCAAACAACGCATTGCTCACAGGAGTTGATAAGAAGTGCCTGCCCAGCTCCTTATGATCACCCAGAATTAGCCAAAATTCTAGTTGGACTTGACCTCCTAAATGTGTTTGAAACTTACTGGATAAGTCTAGGCATATCTAACCACCTTGGGGAAATCTCTTCCTCTTGTGCTCAGGATCCCTGGGGGGCAGTCAAAGGACCATATGTGGCGCCAGGGATTGAACCAAACCAGGGTAACCCACATGTAAGGCAAGAACCTTACCTCTTCTACTATCTCTCCAGCACCAGCATACTTCAGTGGTTACTACAGTGTAGAGTAGATACTTAGCCGTTTTCCTCTTTCCTCAGCCTTTGGCCAAGAAAAGCAAGTCTCTCTGAACAACTTCAGTGCTGATCAGGTAAACAAAGCCCTGCAGGATGTGCTAAGTGGCAAAGCCTGAAGCCTCCAGGAGGATTAAGAGCACCAGCCCCACAGGCTCTCTGCTGGACTGAGTACGATGTGGAAAAATGTATTTATTTTCCTGTTCTTTATAAAGCTTATGCTCTAAGAGGATGTCTCAGGATAATCTTTTTCTCATTTTCATGCACCCACCACGCTTTACCTTGCAAACACCAAGAAGTAGTTTACTATAAAAATAGAACTTTATTCTGTCCTATCAAAAGCTAACTGCTAAAATTGGTGGGGACGGGACTCCAGGGCCCCCCAAATAAGCAGGACACACCAAGCTCCATCCGGTCTTCCTCTCTTGTCAGGGTGGGTGAAAGAAGTGTTGGGAGGTATAGCAGAGAACAAAAAGACTGTTTCTAAAGCCCCAAAGAGGATTCCTGGGGGAGGCAGGGGAGGTGAGGAATGGCGTGTGACCCCGAAGCCAGGTCACCCGTGAAGAGCCTTCTGCAGGAGAGCGTGCACACGATCCTGGAGCTGTGCCTCCTCACGGTGCTTTTCCAGGGCCTGCAGCCCGGAGTGCTGCAGAAAGGCCTGTGCAGCCTGAGGGGAGGGAAGATGAGAGTCAACACTGATGTCCACACATTAGACATTATTCAAACTCCACTTGTCAAAGGATGCATTCCCAGCAAGGGCATGCAGGTTCTGAGCTGGAACCCTCTCTCACTAGCCAGCCCCAAAGAAATGGCTATCATTAAAACTAGAAAAGGAGGGGCTGGAGCAATGGCACAGCGGGTAGGGCATTTGCCTTGCATGCGGCCAACCCGAGTTCGATTCCCAGCATCCCATATGGTCCCCCAAGCACCACCAGGAGTGATTCCAGGAGTAACCCCTGAGCATCACCAGGTGTGACCCAAAAAGCAAAAAAAAAAAAAAAAAAAACCTAGAAAAGGAAAAGGGACCAGGGGAAGACAAAAGGCTGCAGGACTGGGAAGAGTGTGGACAAGGGCCAGAAACCCACCTCTGGTTGGTAGAGGAATAGCAGTTGTAGCAGCTCCAAACTCTGGCCAACAACTTCAGTGTCAGAGAAGGCCAACATGTCCAACAAGGAGGACAGCAGGGGCCCTGGCCACAGATGCTGGCAGTAAGCAGGACCCTTCTCTGCAACGTTGCACAGAATTGTGAGCACCTGTAGACAGTTCACACAAAAGATGAAAGTCAAAGATTGTCATGCTGGCCCCAGGATATGGACTGCTAACCACATCCAGGTGTTCTTACATGCACACCCTAAAGTTCCTGAGGACTGCTATTTCCAGTTAGCAATGAGAAAACTGAAGTTTCAGTTGATTTGCCCAAGGTCAGTATTTAATAACTCCCATTATGGGCTCAAACCACCCAGCCTGATGTGGCCACACACCATGTGCCAGCTCTCACCTAAGGGACCTCCTGAACTTCAGGAGTCAGGGTTAGCCTATTTTTCTTTGAAGCACCATGATTTATAATACTGTTAATAGTAAGTTTTCATGCATACAATGTTCCCACGGGCTGGAGTGATAGCACAGTGGGTAGGGCGTTTGCCTTGCACGTGGCCGACCCAGGGACAATTCCTCCATCCCTCTCGGAGAGCCCGGCAAGCAATCACGAGTATCCCACCCGCAGGACAGAGCCTGGCAAGCTCCCTGTGGCATATTTGATAGGCGAAAAATAGTAACAAGTCTCACGATAGAGACATTACTGATGCCTGCTTGAGCAAATCGATGAACAACAAGACTGCCTTCCTCCACCCCATACCTACCCCTCCCACATTATATACTTTTACCACCAGGTCTTGGACTCAAGGCATCCCAATACCTACCAATACGCGCACCACGTTAGATACTGACAATAACTGCAAGAGGGTCCCAATCAGATCCAGGGAGAGCAAAGATGTACAAAAACTAGGACTGTTTGCTGAAAGGGAAAATGTCAGGATGAAGTCCCTGAAAAGCAGCGTGAAGCCACCCCCCACGCCCCCACTCCCCCTTAGCCCAGGCCCAGGCAGTGGTGCTGACCGGTGAGGTTATTAAGAAGCCAAAGGCCTTCAGGAAGTAGGCTGGGCTGTTTATGGAAGAAGAACTGCAAGATCAGAAATAATGCTGCCAAGACACGCTCATCTCCAAACTGCGTTTCCCCTTCCATGGCTTCTGCTGCTGCCTCTGTTAGCAAGTTGCTCAGACACCGAAGCACAGGGCATGCCAGCTGCAGAGAGAGGGGGGTGTTAGATGCAAAGAAGTTCCCTACCCACCGGAGGCGTGCCCTCTTCACCCACCAGCTCCAGTCCTTCATTGTCAGTTCTCTGGACAGCCCCCGCCAAGTCCAACATCAGCAGCCCCAAGGTGGACAGAGCCCCATGGCTGATGAGCAGTGAATTGTTGACCTGGCTGAACAGCAGGAGACAAGCAGTCACAACTTGGCCTCTCCCGCTTAGAAAGCTCTAGGTCTGGACTGTCCCGGGCTCTAAGAGGCCCAGGGCAGGAAGAAGACTCACCACAGCCATTCCAGAAATGTACATTCAGAAATGTGTCATGCCAAGGGGGCCTGTGGGGCAGACGGCGGCGCTTTCCCAGAGCACCACAGTTACCTGCAGATGAGGTAGTGAAGGCACCAGGCAAATTCCACAGCCACCCCAGGGTTCAGTTTCGGGCCAGGTTGCAAGAGCCGCAGCATGTGTTGGGGGAGAGTGGAGGCCAGGACAGAGCTGCCAGCAGAGGCAAAGGTGTGAGTAGGAAGCACAGGAGGGAGCAGCCTGGCTTCTGTTCAATACCCAGGAGCAGCGGGTCAAGTGTTCAGACCGGAAGCCCTTCCCTGCCACACAGCTGCACAGCTGGAGACATGGTTTTACTTACGGAATGACAGTCTCTGGTGCTTCCTGGGCCTGCAGGAGCTGGGATAAAGTGTATCCAGCGGCCTCCAGCACAGGCAGGTGGGGAGACTGGAAGACACATTAAGGTCTGACTGGGAGCTGGGCCCTAAGAGATCCTGTGGCTTTCCTCCCTTCACACAGAGCAGAGGTTGGATCTCCCCTCCCAGAGAAGATGAGGTGTGCGGAGAGTGGCCCAGAAAGGGAAAGCAGAAGTGGACACTGACCTGGACACAGGCAGCCAAGGCTGGAATAATGCCCTGTGGCAGGAGCTGCCTCCTTATGGCCTCGCTCTCCACGATCAGGTTGCCTAGTGTGTATAGACACAGCTCCTGAGGACGGGACAAGAAAACCCGGGCTGGGGAAAGAAAACCTGGCCAGGGCAGAGACAGCACAGCACCCTGACCTTGAGGTGCCAGGGAGAGGGGAGTGGGCAGTGATGGATGTGGAGGGAAACATTTTCTTCATCCCCCAGTCCCAGTCTGCCAGCACAAAGTGGACCCCAAAAACCTAACTTTGAAATCTAAGTCAAGAATACAGTAGGAAGGAACAGGGCTTACTACAAGATCTGAGCTGTGACCGGCGAGGTAGGTGAGAAGGTAGGAAGTGGCCGGCAGGCAGGCCTCCGCCACCACACACTGCTCAGAGTGTGACAGCTCATGAAGGCACCGGGCGGCCTCAAGCTGCAGCAGGGCATGGTTGCTGGTCAGGAGACCGACGAGGGTCCGCATGCTTCCCTCCAGCCTGCAGAAGCAAATGTCGGAGGTCTGCTTAGGCCCGGGCTTACCCTCCACATTACTGTTCCTTCCTCCACCCCAGGCCATCCGTCTGCACCACCCACACTGACCTAATGAAGTTCTGCTGTGACTCGGTGTGCTGCAAGCCTCGCCGAAGGCTGACCAGAGCACCCAGTCTCTCCTTTTCCTCTGTCCCCCGCTGGGCCAGCTGCAGGAACTGCTGGATCTAGAACCCAGGGAGGGATAGAAGAGACACACATTGGTCAGAAAGCAAGTCCTAGAGCCCGGAGCAAGTGTACAGCAGGGAGTGCATTTGCTTTGCACACAGCCAACTCAGGTTTGATCCCCAGCACCTCAGATGGTCCCCTGAATCTGTCAAGAATGATCCCTGAGCACAGCCAGGAATAATCCCTGAGCACTGCCAGGTATAGCCCAAAAAAACAAAAAAGGGCAAATACAGGTTCAGAGAGATGGCTCAACAGGCTGGCTGCACATGTGTTGCTTGCAAGAGGCCTCAGTTCAGTTCCCCACTCCACATGGTCCCCCAGCACTGCTAGGCACAATTCCCAAGCATCACCAAGTGTGGCCCAAAACCAAAATAAAGTCATGAATCCTAGACTCTTCATTTGTGAAACCTCCAAACACACCTCAAAAACTAGTCATTCAACTTACGCAGCTACTAAGCACCAACCTCACCACATGAGTGGACAGATGGTGAGTGAGAACTGGATTCTATTATAGCCCTGCTGCTTAGTGTACAAGGGAACTGAATATCAGCTGCTCACTGAAAATGGAAGTAAGTAACTACCCCACCAGGGCCCTGCGGCACTGGATTCCATCTCCCAGACCACAAAAATAAATAGGGGCTGGAGAGACAGTACAGTTGGTAGGACGCCTGCCTTGCATATTGCCGACCCAGGTTTGATCCCCAGCACCCCATATCGTTCCTTGAGCACCCCAGGAGTGATCCCTGAGCCCCAAAATAGAGGAGTAAGCCCTGAGCACAGCCAGGTGTGGCCAAAAGAAAATAATAATAAATACTGAACATGTACTGTATGTCAGATACTGTCTAGTCATTTGGGTATTCAGAGATGACAACTAAAACAGGAGCTAAATTTCCTCTGGGGTGTGTGTGTGTGTGTGTGTGTGTGTGTGTGTGTGTGTGTGTGTGTGTGTAAAGCAAGAAAGTTTTTATTGGGGCCAGAGTGATAGGACAGTGGGTAAGGGCATTTGCCTTGCATGTGGCCGACCCGGGTTCCATCCCCAGCATCCCACATGGTCCCCCAAGCACCACCAGGAGTAATTTCTTTTTTTTTTTTTGAATTTTTAATGCCTTTTATTCTTTATAAATCAGACACTTGAAGGATTCAGATGAGATTGAATTCAGCAGGAGTAATTTCTGAGCTCAGAGCCAGGAGTAACCCCTTAGCATCACTGGATGTGACTCCCCAAAAAAAGCAAAAAAAAAAAGGTATTGAAACTTCTAGAAAGATGTAGGAGAAAAAGGGGGAGTATATGTTCAAGAGTGAACACAGGCTCTCCAGAGTGGAAAAGGCAACTAAGGAAATAGACAAGCATGCAACATATGTGTTCAAGGGAGAACGCAGGCTTGAAGTACCAACCAGTTTCCTTGGATTTAAAGTCCAGTTGGGTGTGAAGGAGATGAGATGGCTCCAGGGCTGGGGTGCACACCTGGCAGGCAGAGACTCTGGATTCAATCCCTGGCACCTCATGGTCCCTAGGTCACCACTGGGATGGGCCTGATAAGCAGCGCCAAGTCTAGTGCTAGGAGTGGCCCCAGGAGTCCCCTGAGCACTGCTTAGGAGTCCACTCCTCCAACCCCAAATGCAGATTACTGTGCTCCATTCTCAGATAATTAAATTCAGATGATCTTAGTAGGGCTTTACTTAAAGATACATGACCAGGAAAGTGGCTCAGTGCTAGAATGGATGCCTTGCATGTATATAATCCCTGGTCCAGCAACCATGCTGAGACCACTCTCCACAAGCATGAAGGTACCGGCAGAAGAACAAAGGCATGCAGGTCCCGGGGCTGAGATCTCCAAGCCTACTCAGATCGGGGCTGAGCATCCTCCACCCAGATCCTCCATCTTCCAGTAGGCGGCGCTCACACCCACCAACTGCCCCCCTGCGCCGTGTAATCCCATCAATGGCCAAGACCCAAGAGACTATAAAACCCAGCTCCCAGAAGAAAACAGCGCAGAGTCTCCTGCCCCCCCGCGCCTGGCTGTCCTCACCCGGGCCCCTTGGAAGGGGACGAGTTGAGTTTCCCTCCCCGCCCCAAGCAGAGCCCCAGCAGCCAAAGACCTCCAGAACCAGCCACAACCATGCTGAGACCACTCTCCACATGATGAAGGTACCAGCAGAGGAACAAACACATGCGGGTCCTGGGGCTGAGATCTCCAAGCCTACTCGGATTGGGGCTGAGCACCCTGCACCCAGATCCTCCATCTTCCAGTAGGCGGGAGTCACACCCACCAACTGCCCCCCAGCGCCGTGTAATCCCATCAACGGCCAAGACCCAGAGATTATAAAACCCAGCTCCCGGACATCTTATTATCTCATTCTTGCTTTGGACAACCTGGCAGGCTACCGAATGTAACCTGCCCACACGGCAGAGTCTGGCAAACTCCCCGTGGCATACCCAATACAACGAATACCATGAACAATGATGGGTCTCATTCTCCTAACCCTGAAAGAGCCTTGAATGTGGCACTTTTTAGAATCTCAGGCTAGGATGAAGGAGACATTACTGGTGCCTGCTCAAGGCAATCAACGAACAACAGGATGATCGTGATCGGTCCAGCACACAATAAAATCTAGGGCCCTGTACTATAAAAGGCAACTCAGGGGGTACTGTCTTGTATACAGCTGACCAGGATTCAATCCCTGACACTGCATGGTCTCCTGAGCACCGCAGGGAGCAGTACCCAAACACTGAGCCAGAAGTTCACCTGCATAAGGCCCAACTAGAAAGTAAAGGGAAACAGAATAGTAATGGAGGAAGAGAAGTGAGACAGTCAGTTTAGAACAATAATAAACAACAACATTCTGCAAACAATTTACAAAGATTTATGAGTAAAAGGGATGTACTGAAGAACCACAAATGCAAAGGCTATGAGACAGGAAAGATTCCAGGAACTAAAAGGGGGCCAGTGTGGCAGAGAGGACAAAGATGAGCAGGTTGAGATGGGAGGGCTGAGGTTAGACCATACTGGACTTTATCGGTTACTGAAATGATTTTGTTCTGTATTTTTAATGTCCTAATTTTATTTTCTTTTTTCTTGGGGGGCAGGGGTGGGTGGAGACCCAGCTGTGCTGTCACTCCCTGTGGTGCTCAGGCTCCATGCAGCTCTTAGGTTGAACCCCAAGTTCCTGCAAGTTAAGCATTGCACTCTCAGCCGTGAGCCAGCTCTCCAGTCCTGGTCTCTGTAGTTTTGTTTGTTTGCTTGTTTGTGGTGTGACACTCAGCACTGCTTAGGGATCACTTGAGAAAAATGTGTCTGGGAACTGTCTGTGGTGCCAAGGGTTAAACTTAAGTCAACTACGTGCAAGGCAAATGCCCTACCTGCTCTACCTGCTTTACTAGCTCTTGGACCTACTTTGTTCAGAAAGTTTTGTGTTTTTTTCTTTGTTTGTTTGTTTGGGTCACACCTGGAGATGCACAGGGGTTACTCCAGGCTCTCCACTCAAGAATTACTCCTGGCAGTGCTCAGGGAACCATATGGGATGCTGGGGATCAAACCCGGGTCAGCTGCGTGCAAGGCAAACGCTCTTCTCTTGGGCCTTCTGGTTACTGTATTATTTTTATTTATTTAGGTTTTTGGGCGACACCTGGAGGTGCTCATAGCCTGGCTCTGCACTCAGGATTACTCCTGGCAATGTCTGGGTGACCTAAGGATATCAGGGATGAAACCCAGATCAGTGACATGACCTGGAAGACAAGCACCTTACCCGCTGTTCTATGTTTAGCCCTCTAGTCGCTATATTTCTATAATACACACGACTGATACATGGAGAATGGACACGGTTGGCAAGCTTAGCTGCAAATGACTTGTTAGGTGGCTATTGTAAATATACGAAGAAAAAGGTGGTGACCCTGAGGTCAGTCGTTTCTTGGAACTAACAGAACTTGAGCACCTGCTTTTCATGCAGGAGGTCTGGACAGACCACACAGTCCACTGAACACCACCAGTAGCCGTGAGCACATAGGGATGTGCGCTCCTCCCCCCAACACCTCCCCCCCCGCCCCCCCCCCCGAAAAAAAAATCAAACAACTCCAGCGGTCTTTAGGAGCTTTAAAAATGTGCGGGAGTCACAGCAATAGTACAACAGGTAGGGTGTTTGCCTTACACACAGCCACCGGGGTTCGATCCCCGACATACCATCTGGTCCCCCAGCACCGCCAGGATTAAGGCCCGGGTACTGTCGGGGTGTGGCTCCATAGCTAATAATGGTAATAATAAGTGTGGGGATCGGGGATCGGGACACGGGGCCGTACTGCTGTGGGGACGTGGCCAGCGGGCCCGCGCGGCTGCGGGCTCCGTCCACTTGCGGGGAGGTGCGGCAGGGACCGCCTCCGGGGCTGGCGTTGAGGTCCCGCCAACTCGCCCTCACCTCGGCTTGCCCCAGGATAGCGGTCGCGCAGCCCCCTCCGGCTTCCTCCGAGGTGTCATCTCTCAGCAACCTCTTGCTGACCAGCTGCTGCTCCCTCCGCGCCTTCCTCAATGCTGCGGGCGACCGAGCCATCAGAGCGCCGGGAGCACAGGGCCTGGGTCTCCCCGCCCCACCGCCCTCGGACGGCCACCCCCGCGCCCTCGCCGGCCCGCACCGGCCTCCCGCTCCCGCCGGCGACGCCGTAGTTCCTCCACCCCGCAGCCCGCAGGCCCGAGGCGGCCCAGTCGATGGCTCCACATCGCGGGGCGGGAGGAAACCGGGAAGAGCCAGGCGAGTCACCGGGGCAAAGCAGACGGCACGGAACGCGCAGGCGCAGCTTCCGGCGGGAGGGGCGGGGCGGGGAGCGCGGAGCAGGGGGCGGGGAGGGGCGGGGTATAGTTGAGGGGCGGAGTGATGAGGGGAAGGGGGGGCCTCCTAGAGGCAGATGGATCGAGGCTGATGTAATCAAGGGCTCTGTTATTCCTCCTTGTCAGTTTCAGTTCCTGGAAAGGAAGTAACTGAAGAACCTTCCACTCAAACACAACTTCCCACCTTTATACCCCTCACACACCCAATGGGAACTTTAAAAAACTACCCTGACCTGAAGGAAAATAGGGCAACCTGTTTCATCAGACACACAGCTCTCATGGAACTGCATGATTTCATTTACATTAACTCCATTTTATGAGTGAGGAATATGAAACAAATATTTCACTGTTCTGCATAAAATTGGGTTGTATCATCTGGGATGGCAAAGCAATTATTTTATCAAATGTTAAATGCCACGACTCTACTAGGTACCGAGTGGAGAAACACTAGTTCCAGGGCCTAGAGAGATAGTACAGTGGGTACAAGCTGCAAGCTTTCCTTGCATGCAGCTGACAGGGTTTGATCCCTAGCACTGTACTTCATCTGGACACCGAGGCACCTCAAGATGTAACCCATGAGCACTGTTGGGTGAGACCCCAGAATAAAGAATTCTTACAGTGTCCTGAAGGAACAGTGAAGTGGCTTAAAAAGCTTGAGCAAAAATATGACCAGAGTTCAAATCCCCGATGTCAAATATGCATTTAACACAATCTTTTCAGTTCTGCAGAATGAGCCTGATACCTTGCCATCCCTGGTACCACAAATGGTTTCTGGTTGCCACACAACAAGCTGTGTGTAAGCACCACAGAAAGGAATGTGACCCTCAGAAAGCACCACAAAAGATGTGAGCTCCACAGCCAGAAAGTGGCCAAGCTCATGCGTTAGCTTCACAAGAACAAGAAAGCAAAGCTCTGTCACTATCTCACCCTGGCCACAATATTCTCTTCTTGTTCTTTTTGCTTTTGGGGTCACACATAAGGGTACTCAGGAATTACTCCTGCCTCTGCACTCAGTTATCACTCATGGCAGGCTTGGGGGAACTATATGGGATCCTGGGATCAAACAGAATGGCTGCATGAAAGGAAAGTGCCTTACCAATTGTACTGTACTACCGCACTGGGCCCTCAGTTTTCTCTTCTTTGAAATGCAATTGTGGGGGGGGGGGGGGCGAGCGATAGTACAGTGGATAGGTCATTTGCCTTATATGCAGCCGACCCAGGTTCAATCCCCAGCATCCCCTGGAGTCCCCCCAAGCACCACCAGGAGTAATTTCTGAGTGCAGAGCCAGGAGTAACCCCTGAACATAGCTGGGTTATGAGCTCATTAAAAAAAGAAAAAAAGGGCTGGAGCGATAGCACAGCGGGTAGGGAGTTTGCCTTGCATGCGGCCGACCTGGGTTCGATCCCCGGCATCCCATATGGTCCCCCAAGCACCGCCAGGATTAATTCCTGAGTACAGCGCCAGGAATAACCCCTGAGCATCGCTGGGTGTGACCCAAAAAGCAAAGATAAATAAATAATAAAATTCTTAAAAAAATGCAATTATAAGGGTCAGCAGGGCAATTGCCTTGCATAAGACTCCCCATATAGTCCTTTGAGATCTACCGAGAGTGATCCTTGAGCACAAAGCCAGAAGTAAGCTCTTAGCAGAGTCAGGTGTGACCCTCCTCCAAATAGATTAAATGAAATTGTGAAACCAGAGAGAGAGAGCAAAGTGGATAAGGCACTTGCCTTGCATGCAGCTGACCCGAATTTGATCCTTGGCCCTACATATGGCCCCCCAAAACACTGCTGTGAATGACTCCTAAGCACAGAGCCAAGACTAGCCTGAGCACTGTCAGGTAGCCCCTGAGCACCCAAAAAAGGAAAAGAAGAAAAGAAGAGGCTTTGAAAAATATAACCATCAGTGTTACTGCCAGTACTGCAGCTCTGTGCAAAAGGCTTTATTCATAGTCAAGTTATTTTATTATATCCAATTTACAAAGCAGGAGTCCAGAAATATAAGACTGAGAAACTGTTCAAATTTCATAACCCCAGTGGCAAAGATGGGTCAGAGATAGAGGGAACCCAGCAGAGCTCAGGGATTACTCCCATCTGTACTCTACGTCCGCTCCTAGTGGAGAACCATGCTGTGCCAAAGAGAGAAGTTGGGTCTTGAACTACTTCCTGGCCCCAGGAGATGGACTAGCCAGACTGCAGTTGCAAAGTCAACATGTTTAATTTGTACTCTCACCTTATTCCTACCTGATGTCACAGTGACCCTGGCGAGGCTCAGAAATTAAGGCATGCCAACAGGATACACAGAGAGCCAGTTTGGTCTCATGACTCCTCCTTATTTGGACTGACGACAGATGTGAAACAACTTCTAGAAAATACGGGAAGTGAAGATTCGAATGTTTGTCATGTAGTTCTGTCCCTAGAAATCCAGAGGCGCATAACAGTGAGGATTGTTCTAAAAGCATTAACTCTACCTCATCTTCTGGAACTTTGCTTTTTTTCTTGGACAACAGGTGAGTTACTAAATAATCTTTATTCTCATTCGACCTAGGTTCAGCCCTTGCTTCCTCGGACATCGGAATTGTGCTTTGGGAAATGGGAGGCAGAGAAGAGTTAGAGGCAAGACAGAAAATTGTTGAAAAGATCTTTTCTATTTCAAGAGGAGGAAATGGGAATGTAAGAAACGGAAAGACTCAGACAATGTGTCTCTATTTAATACCATTAATTTGGGGAGAGTTGGCTATACCCACTGGTGTTAGGCAACCATGTAATACTGTGTTTTGAACCCAGGTTTCCTGCATGCAAAGCATGCCCTCTAACTGCTTGAGCTACTCAAGCAGTAGCTCAACCCATAAGAAAGCTACTGCTAGAATCAGAGCAATAGTACAGTGATTGGGGTGCTTTCATTGCACACAGAAGACCCAGATTCAATCCCTGGCACCAATATGGTACCCCCGAGCTCCACCAGGAATCAGCCCTGAGCACAGAGACAGGAGTAAGCTTACCACCGGGTGTGGCCCACAAACAAAAGCTATTATTTTCTTTTCATTTTTGTTTCTGGGTATGGGGGGCGGTTTAGGTCACACTAGGCATTGTTCAGAGTTCACTCCTAGTTCTGTGCTCAGGGGTCCCGACTGGCAGCACTGCAGGATCACATAGGGTGCCAGGGATTGAACATTGAATCATTTGAATCATTTCTCTGACTCCATTTTGCGTTTTTTTTTTTCTTTTTGGGTCACACCCGGCAATGCACAGAAGTTACTCCTGGTTCTGTGCTCAGGAATTACCCCTGGCGGTGCTCAGGGGACCATATGGGATGCTGGGAATCAAACCCAGGTCGGCCGCGTGCAAGGCAAATGCCCTACCCGCTGTGCTATTGCTCCAGCCCAACCCCATATTTTCTTATTTGCTATTATTGCTGTTATTTTGTTTTGTGTTTTTTGGTCATCTTTGTTCATGTTTGGGGACTTCTTTAGCTTAGCATTTGGGGTTCATTTCTGGAGGTGCTCAGGCACTCTGTGGTACTGGGGATCGAACCCCAGATGTAAAGCAAGTGCTCTAACCTATTGAGCTCTCTCCTCAGCCCTTACTTAATAAACAAAGCTGGGACACTTGATGTGTTTTGTTTGGGGGCCATACCAGGCAGAGCTCAAGACTTACTGCTAGCTCTACATTTAGGGATCACTCCTGGCAGGGTTTAGGGGATCAAATCCAGGTCAGCTGCATACAAGAAACTGCCTTCCCCAACTTACTCTCTCCAGTCCCAATGTTATAAGACTTTTTTTTCCCTTTGCTTTAACTAAAGTCATTTTGCATTGGATATAAAGGTGAGACTGTTTTAGAGTTTGAGGCTACTCCTGGCTTTCAGCTCAAGGGTCACTCCTGGTGGTGTTCCGTGACCATATGCAGTGTCAAAGATCAAACCGGGGTTTTCCTCACACACCTTAGCCCATGATGTACCTATCTGGCCCAGTTAATTAATAATTTATTTTGGTTTATAGGTCACACTCATAGGTGCTGAGTGGGGAGGGTGGATGACTCTCCTTTCTGTGCTCCTGTTCTGTGGACCTCCTTAGTCATTTGAACTATCTTTTCCCCATTCCTTATCCTTCCCATTTAAAACAAACCGTAGGTTATTCTTGGTAAGTGGGATACTGTCAATAGAGCAGAAATTTACATTTAAGGTAAATTATCTGGGGCTGGAGAGATAGCACAACAGGTAGGAGGGTAGGGCATTTGCCTTGCACACAGCCGACCAAGGTTCAATTCCCAGCATCCCATATGGTCCCCTGAGTACCGCCAGGCGTAACTCCTGAGTTCAGAACAAGGAGTAATCCCTGTGCATCGCCAGGTGTGACCCAAAAAGCAAAAATAAACAAATAAAGTAAATTATCTAGGGGGCTGGAGCAATAGCACAGTGGGTAAGGTGTTTGCCTTGCACACAGCCGACCTGGGTTCGATTCCCAGCGTCCCATATGGTCCCCGAGCACCGCCAGGAGTGATTCCTGAGTGCAGAGTCAGAGAGTCAGGAGTAACCCCTGAGTATCGCCGGGTGTGACCCAAAAAAAAGTAAATTAGCTAGAGATAAAGCATGTTACCTTCAGCAGATTCCTGATAATTCTATCACCCTGGCTGATCAGACTGCTTTAAATTTTGGGCATTTGAGTTAGGATGTAACCTAGGTGGATATAACATTCAGGGCCTAGAAAAAGTTGAATGAACTGGGTGTATGATTTGTGTGCAGGAAGCCAGAATTTGATCTTGAACCCTGGGAGCACAGCGAGGAAGAACCCTAGCATCTAGGGAGTAATCCTCCAGCATTACTAGGTGTGGTCCAAAAACAGAACAAAACAATATTAATTTTTGAAAGAAGAGGGGATGGAGAGATAGTACAGTGGGTAGGTCACTTGCCTTGCACACAGCCAACCTGGGTTAAATCCCTGGCATCCCATAAGGTCCCTGAGCACTGCAAGGGGTAATTCTGGAGCCAGGATGTGACCCAAAGAGAAAAAATAAAATAGAAGAATTTTACATTCAGGGGTGGGGATTGGGGTAGTGGTGATTATGTGATTATTTAATTCAGTGGTAGAACATTTGCCTTGCACATGTGAGACCCTGGGGTCCCTTGGCACTGAGGAGACCCCAGAGCCGCCTTGTATGGGCACACTCATGATTCCCAGCACCAGACGAGGAATGGTTGCCAGTTAACAGAATTACTTCATAGATGATGGGATTATAAATTGAATGGGGAATTATTATCTCTACTCCCATAATCAAAGATAACATTTTCTTTAATTCACAGTGTTTCCCCCCCCCCACCCCCTCCCCATAAATGGGCTGGGAGGAGGGAGGGGAAAAATTAAATAGTAATCAACTAAGTTAAACAACAACAGCAACAACTTTCTTCTCTTGAACGAGGGTTGTAGCAGAAGAGATTTGCAATCTCTTCCACAAAGTGAACACTATTTAGGGCGATTTAGGACTTGGGCGGCTGAAGGGTAACGAGGGTAACTGTAGGTAACCAAGACAAGAACTGTTGAAGTAGTACCCTCTTTGTAGGCGGGGAGACTAGGAGTGAGGGCCCGCGGAACTGGGGCCATTCCTTTCTTCAATCCCACCAGACCTGGGGCGCCTGTGTCAGTCAGGCAGAGACCAGACGCCCCGCAGGATCCTTCCTGTAAAAGGCTCCTCTGCCCTCTCTCAGTTGCTGCATCATTGCAAAATTTCTCAGAAGAATCAAGAAAGTGGGAAGGGGAGGTGGAGGAGTGACTGGTGTTCGGAGAGGAGATAAAAGAATATCTTTTTTTTTTTTTTTTTTGCAAAAGAATATCTTTACAGGGTTACGTCGAGGCCTCCAAGGGTCCGGGCGAGTCGTGTGTGCCGCTGCTCCATAGGAGAGTAGCCCAAGGCTTTTGCCTCGCTCGCCGCGATGCAGAGAGGCTCTGCAGATTCGTGCAACATGGTGAGTGAATCGGGATTCCTCCTGGCACTCCAGGGGGCCACCCGGGCCTCCCTTACCTCCGTTGTCTCCCCAGGTGCCTGGGTTGTGCCTGCTGCTGCTGCTGTTGCTGCCGCGCATCTCCGCGGACACACCGGAGCCCTGCGAGTTCGATGATGAAGATTTTCGCTGCTTCTGCAATTTCACGGATCCGGAGCCCAACTGGTCGAGCGCCTTACAGTGTACGGTGGCCGTGGATGTGGAGATCCGTGGCGGAGGCCGCGGCCTGGAACAATTCCTCAGGCACGCAAACACCGATCCGAGCCAGTACGTGGATATGGTCAAGGCTCTGCGCTTGCGACGGCTCACGCTGGGCGACGCGCGGGCGCCGATTCAGCTCCTGGTCGGCCTCCTGAGAGCGCTCGGGTCTTCCCAACGCTTCAAAGAGCTGACGCTTGAGAACATGGAGATAACCGGCACACTGCCACCCGTGACTCTGGAAGCCACGGGGCCTGCGCTGTCCACTCTTCGTTTCCATAATGTATCGTGGGCATCAGGAAAGACTTGGCTGTCCGACTTGCAGCGGTTGCTCAAGCCGGGCCTGAAGGTCCTGAGCATCACGCGAACGCCCACGCTTTCCTTCGCCTGCGCACAGCTCGACCCCTTCCCAGCACTCAGCAGCCTAGACCTGTCTGAGAATTCTGCTCTGGACGAGCTTGGATTGCAAGAGGCTCTCTGCACCGACAAGTTCCCCGCGCTCCAGGACCTGGCGCTTCGCCGGGCGGGCGTGCAGACGCTGGATGGGGTGTGCTCGGCGCTGGCCGCGGCGGGTGTACGGCCGCGGAGCCTCGACCTCAGCCACAATGCGCTGCGGACACCTAGCCCGGGCGCCGCTGCCCAGTGCGTCTGGCCGGGCGAACTGAACGCTCTCATCCTGTCCTTCGCGGGGCTGGAGCAGGTTCCCAGAGGTCTGCCGGCCAAGCTGGACGTGCTCGATCTCCGCGGCAACCGGCTGACGAGGGTGCCGGAACAGGACGAGCTTCCCGAGGTGAAAACGATGATCCTGGACAGGAACCCCTTTCTCGACCCCGAATTCGCTAAACACCATGAAACCCAGAGAAAGTCCAGTGCGGTTCCAGCCAGTGCAACTTCGGTCTTGGCCATAGGGCTGGCAGGAGCTGCAGTGTTGCTTAGAGGGGCCGGGGACTTCGCCTGAGGGTGGGGAGTGGGGCGGGGTGAAAGTCAAAGAATGCAGATACGCAGATTACCCTGCTGGGGAGTGGGATAAACCCAACCTACTAACTCTGCCCCATCCGTATTAAAATCTCAAACCTCGTCCGTGTTGTTCACTCACTTGTTTGGTGGTTGCCTGCCATTAGCTCGGAACCATGACCACGCTGACCTTGGAATCAAGGAGCCAGAAACAAACAAAAGAAAAAGAGGCCACTGTACTTAGGGTGTTTTTTTTTTCTTTTTTTTACGATGAAAGCAAAGCGGTAGGGCGTTTGCCTTGCCCACAGCCGGCGGAGCCGGTTCGATTCCTCCCCCCTCTCAGAGAGCCGGGGAAGCTACCGAGAGTACCTCGTTAGCCAGGACAAGCCTGGCAAGCTACCCATGATGTATTCAATATGCCACACACAGTAACAACTAGTCTCACGATTGAGACGTTACTGGGCCCTCTGGCGCAAATTGATAAACAACAGGAGGACAGTGCTACAGTAGTCTTGGGAGGGAAACCTGCGGGGTGGGGGGTGTGTGTGGGGGGGGGGTGCTGTCTTTTGGGGGAATGGGGACTTTAGTTGCATTTGAGAGCAAGGATAATTAAGGATTTGGGATGGAATTTGTGCTTTTTGTTCGGGTTGTTTTGTTTTGTGAGGGCCACACAAGAGGCCACCAATATTCTGGTGCTACTCCTAGGACTACACTCGGCAATTGCCCATGGTGGTGTTTGTTGCTCAGGGACCATTAGGAGAACCAAATCTGGTGGGCTTCCCTACCTGCTGTTCTATCACTTGGGCTCTCTAAGCCCTTATAAAATAGTCAGTCTTGCTCTTCACTGTTCTCCCTTGAACATGTATCTCATTTGCCTGTCTCAATGTTTCTTTGCCTGTTTCCACTCTAAAGAAGCCATAAACATGTTTTTTTCTCTAATATGTACTTCTCCCTCTCTCTCCCCTTACATCTTTCTAAATAAGTTTTAATAAAACCTACTTCACTTCCCCCCAAAATAAAATGGGTTTCCGGTACACAATGTTCCAACACCAATCCTTGTACCAGTCCATTTCCTTCTACCGTGTCCCCAGTTTCCCTCCCACCCACCTGCCTGCCTCTATGACAATAATACTTATTTTAAAAGTGTATTTTGAAATACATTCTTGGCACTGTTAAACCCTTCTTTTTGTTCTCTAGAAGTTAGGCAATTTAGGTAAGAGACAATAAAGACTCATTCAGGGCTAAGGCACTTGCCACGCATATGACTGACCCAGTTTGATACCCTGGCAATAAAGAGAAAGGAGTAGACCCAGAGCATCACTGGTTGTAGCTCCACCCCTCACCCTCCAAATCTTTCACTGCAACATGGTTAGGTAGTGTGGGCTAGATAAGGTCAAACACTGTGTAAACTCAAAAAAAAAGACAGCAGCGGCGGTGGCTCTATCTCTCCCGCTGCCCGCGTTCGGTAGTCTCATGCCGGTTCCCCCACCCCGGAGAGGTCGATGGCGATGGGCAGGCAAAGGAAGGAACGAGGGCCAGGCTGGTTGGTCTTAGTTGCAGTTTATTCCATTCCCATCTCCATTCTCCTCTGATTCTCCTCCTGCTTCTTCCTCCCCCATGCTACTTTGTTCTCCTTCTCGATCCCCCTTCATCCTCCTTCTCTGATTCTGATTTCCCAGCCCACTCTTACAGTACTGTCAAATCCCAAAGCATGAGGGGTTGGGGTAACAATTACACATAGGTGTGGTCACAATCAATAGGGGTAGAATTCTTTCCCTCAGGGAAAGCCGCTTTTAGGACAGATACTCTCTCAGTAGGATGACCCACCCTAGAGCAGAATCCCATGGGTGTGTTTCTCTTCTTCTTGTCCAACAAACAGATAAGCATATATAATATAAATTATTTTGTATGGATACAGTAAGAAATACCTTAAACTTATAGAATTGCCCTCCTAGGGCCATCTCGATCTCAGACTACAGTGCTCAGGTCAGATAGTCTTTCTTACCCCTAGCAGGGTCCTACTCTCATCATTACTTTTGGATCATGACAGCAATTTGTATGATCAAGCTCTTAACTTATAGTTAAGAATCATGGCACTTTGGCTTGGCCCATTTCGATGCCAGGGTAGCTCACTGCTTGCCTTGGGTTCATTCAGTCCCTCCCTGCTTTTGGGGTGTTAGGAACTAAGGGCAACTGAGGCTTAAGTCGAGAAAGCAGATGCCCGGGAGTGAATAATATTCAAAGCCAATTAAATCCTAAGTTACAAAACATAATGTTAATGATCTTCCTGTATCTATACAAAAAGGATATTGCTTTAAAGTAAACCATTCAAAAGACATAAGGAGAGGAGAAAGGCGATAGTAACTTACAATACAATTTCAGTGTCCTAGAAGGATCTGACCTTACAAATGAACAGATACTGATTAGGGGGGAAAAGCTGATTAACTGGTTGGGGAAGAGAGCATAGAGAAGTGGTTACAGATAAATGAAGGAATGGGAGTGACTTGGGAGCACTGTGATGGGTGTAACCTGATAAACCTAAACTCCTTTTGGAGAAAGGGAGAAAGGACAAAGCAATGTCATCCTACAAAGCACCAAGGGGACAACACGTAGGCTGCAGCAGCGTATGGAGGGTGGGGGAAAGTATATGGGGAACTTTCTGGGAAGTGTCTTGGAGAATGAATAACTTTCAGACTAAGTATAAATGAGAAAAGTTATATGAGTGGGTTTTTTTGCTGACATGATTTTAAGTGGAGGAAAAAAAATTTAAAAGATCAGCAATTTTTACTTCACTAAGATTAAATATTTTGCTCGAGCGGGCCCAGTAACGTCTCCATTGGAGACTTTGTTGTTACTGTGTTTGGCATATCGAATACATCACGGGGAGCTTGCCAGGCTCTGCCCCGCAGGCGAGATACTCTCGGTAGCTTGCCGGGCTCTCCGAGAGGGGCAGAGGAATCGAACTTGGGTCGGCCATGTTGGCTGCGTGCAAGGCAAATGCCCTAACCGCTGTGCTATCACTCCAGCCCTGAGATACAGTTACAATGCTTTATTGTTTGAGCTTTGGTCATACAATCATCAAACACCCATCTCTTCACCAGTGCACATTTTCCACCACCAAAATCCCCAGTAACCCTGGTTCCAACCCCACTGTGTAGGATAACATTGCTTTGTCCTTCTTCCACAAAGAACTTAGGTTTATCTGGTTACACCCATCATAGTGCTCCTGAGGCACTTCCATTCCATTGTGTTTATCTGTAAACAGTCTTCCCTATGCTCTCCTCCCCACCCAGTTAATCAGCTTTCCCCCTAATCAGACTCTGTTGATTTGTAAGGTCAGATTTCTCAGAAATCTATGATTTTATATGTATGAGTGAAATATTGCCTTTCTCCTCTCCTTATGCCTTATGAACAGTTTACTTTAAAGCAATGCCCTTTTTGTATAGATACAGGAAGACCGTTAACATTATGCTTTGTAACTTAGGATTTGATTGGCTTTGAATATTATTCACTCCCGGGCATCTGCTTTCTCGACTTAAGCCTCAGTTGCCCTTAGTTCCTAACACACCAAAAGCAGGGTCCTGACGAGGGACTGAATGGACCCAGGGCAAGCGGTGAGCTACCCTGGCAGCGAAATGGGCCAGGCCAAAGTGCCATGATTCTTAACTATAAGTTAAGAGTTTGATCATAGACAAATGCTGTCATGATCCAAAGGTAACAACGAGACTAGGATCCTGCTAGGGGTGGGAAAGGCTATCTGGCCTGAGCACTGTAGTCTGAGATCGAGATGGCCCTAGGAGAGCAATTCTTTAAGTTTAAGATATTTCTTACTGTATCCATACAAAATGACTTATATTATATATTCTTGTCGGACAAGGAGAGGAGAGACACACCTATAGGATCCCGCTCTAGGGTGGGTCGTCCTGCTGAGAAAGGATCTGTCCTAGGAGCGGCTTTCCCTGAGGCTAAGAATTCTACCCCTATTGATTGTGACCACACCTATGTGTAATGATTACCCCAACCCCTCATGCTTTAGGATTTAACTAGACTGTAAGAGTGGGCTGGGGGATCAGAAGGAGATCAGAAGGAAGAGAAAGAGGGATCAGAATCCAGACTCCAGAGAAGGAGGATGAAGGGGGATGGAGAAAGAGAATGAAGTAGCATGGGGGAGGAAGAAGCAGAGCAGAGGCAGAGAAGGGAGACTGGTGTGGATGGAGAGAGGATCGGAATAAACTACTAATACCAACCAGCCTGCTCTCGTTTCCTTCCTTTGCCTGCCCATCACCATCGACCTCCCCGGGGTGGGGGAAGAAGGGTGAGACTACCGAACGCGGGCATCGGGAGAGATAGAGCCACTGCCGCTGTGTGCCGTGCCCCCTTCTTTGAGTTTACACACCACTGATGTTGGAAACCCCCATAAATTATGTATCATGGTTTCGATTGCAAGTCATCTGGCATTTTGTTGTTGTTTTTTGTTTGGGGGTCAAACCTGGCAATGTTTAGGAGTTGCTCCTGGCTTAGCTCTCAGGAGTCACTCCTGATGGTATTCTCAGGACCAAAAGGGATGCCTGGGACCAAACTCAGGTCAATTGTGTGTAAGGCAAATGCCAGTACTTTCTCTCTGGTGCCAAATCTGGCATTTTTTTCATCTGGCAGTACAGGAAGGATTCAGTCACCCGAAATTAGGGATGAGTTTGCCCAGGGATTGAGCAAGTTGTGCTGATCTGGGCAGAACTAGAAAATGTGTTCTAGAAAGGGAAGGAAGTGAGGCAAGAAGTATGGCTGAAAGAACCAAAATTCCCACTTCCCCATTATATCCAATGTGTCAAGACAAATGTTTTGCTGTAGGACTGGAGCCAAGGACTCCTTTCCTGAGTCACTCTCCATGTAGCTTCATTTTGGTTACTCTTCTGTCATTTGGAGTCATGAGAACAACATTGACAAAGATTCTCAGAAGTTCGTTTCCTTATTTGGGGATTGGGGAGATGATTCACAAATCACAGAGC